TAAGGACTTGAACAATGCTGCTGTGGGGGCTGTCCCTCACCCCGATCCCTTGGAGTCTAGGGTTTAGGGTTTAGGGTTTAGGGTTTAGGGTTTAGGGTTTATTGCTGTTATGGTCTGTGTTTGCTGCTGCTGCTGCAGCACCGAGCCGCTACCACCGCAGAACCCCTGAGGAGACACGCCAGCTGCAGCTGCGGAGACAAGCGAGGATGGGGGCCCCCCCTCAATTCTCCTTTCGTTAATCTCACACCCATTGGGGGCCCCCCAGGGGCCCCCTGGGGGGCCCTTCATGGGGGCCCCCTGGGGGGCCCTTCAGGGGGGCCCCCCACGGGGGCCCTTCAGGGGGGCCCCCCTGGGGGGCCCTTCATGGGGGCCCCCCACGGGGGCCGTTCATGGGGGCCCCTCGCTCGGTCACCGCAAGGACGCCTCCCAAGGGGGCCCCTCACGGGGGCCCCTTAAGAGTGTCCCTCTATGGGGGGCCCCTCACGGGGGCCCCTTAAGGGGGCCCCCCTTGGGGGCCCCCAAGGGGGCCCCCAAGGGGTCTCCTTAGAGCGTGCCCGCTGAGGGTTTATATTTTATTTTGTTTGTGGAGGATGAGAAGGTAAGGCAAAATTAAAAATTATTTGTTTTAATTTATTTGTTTTTTTTATTTTTATTGTTTTTTTTGTTTTTGTTTTTTGTGGCGGAGACAGAATTTGTTTACTGAAGGGCACGAGAAGTGTCTCCTTTTTCAGTGTCTCCTCTCAGCGCTGAGTTTTGCTGCTTTTGTTGCTGCTGCTGCTCTCGTGCTGCTGCTGCTGCTGCTGCTGCTGCTGCTGCTATAGGTCATTGGGGGGCCCCTCATACACGGGGCCCCCCACGGCTTGGTATTGTTGGGGGCCCCCAGACCCTGCTAGCTAACTCCATGCATGCGCAGAAGTGCTGCTGCTGCTCTGTTGCTGTTGCTGCTGCTGCTGCTGCTGCTGCTCAGCTCATGTTGCTGCTGCTGCTGCTGTATTGGTGCCGCTACTGCTGCTGCGCTGCTGCTGGTGCTGCAGCTGACTCCCTTCCTTACTGTGTCGATTGCTAGGTAAAGTATCACTTGGTTTAGTCTTATTGTTGCTGCTGCTGCTGCTGCTGCTGTTGCTGCTGCTGCTGCTGCTGCTGCTGCTGCTGCTGCTACTGTGTCCGTACTGGAGACCAGTGGTGCAGCAGGGGTTTGGTGTTTTTTATTTGTTTGTTTAGCCCTTTAAATATATTTTTATTTACATTTAATTTATAAATTAATTAAAAAGAAATAAAATATAGAAAAAAACTGCAGCTGAAGGCCTCCTTGGGGCTCTAGGGTTTAGGGTTTAGGGTTTAGGGTTTAGGGTTTGGGGTGACCCCACCACCCCACCCCACTGCTGGTGCCCCCGTTGCTGTGTTTTTTTTTTTATATAAAATAAAAAATATTTTTATTTTTCTTTTTATATAAATGTCAACATATTTGGCGTTAAAAATTAATTTATTTCAGTATCGTTTCTCTCTCATCTTTTGGGGTGTATAGGCAGCTCGTTTGTATACATACATACACCCGGGGTCACCCAGCTGTATGGTGTATAGGTGTTTTTTTGTGTTTGTTTCTTTTCTTTTTCTCTTTATTTTTTCTTTTTTTATTTCTTCCTTTGTCGCCAGCTGTCTATACACCCCAAATTAACTCAATAAAACCCCATTTCAACCCCTCTCCCCCCCCCCC